TGTTTTCATGTAGACACAAAACAGCTGATGCAATCTCATATGCAAATTTCAGCTTTAGATCCCAACTGATTGATTCACACTTTTCTTGTAGATAGCTTCTTAATGTTCCACTATCTGCATATTCAAGGACCAATAAATATTTCCCATTTCCTTTATATATAAATATAAATATTAGTTAATGGAAAAAATCAAAATAGGAAATAATTTAAACATACTTTCATTCATAGTGACACCATATAAATGAATAATATTTTGATGGTGATTAACTTTACGTAACAATTTCAACTAATTGAACCAATTGTTATCATTAGTTGAAATTTTTTTTAATCCACAACCAAAAACATAATATAATTTACCTCATTAACAATTTCTTTCATATTTGTCATATCATGACTATATGATTTCAAGGCACAAATACTGCTATTATCCAATGTTGCTTTATAAACTTTTCCAAAACCACCTGAACCAATTTTTTGAATATTTTTAAACCTACTACTGTATTCATAAAAATTAATGTGTTCCTTCTGAATTGCCTCATCAAGCCATCCTGACAAATTATCCTTAGATTTATCAATAATTACTTTGTTTTCATTGATCATTCTATTGTTTGGCCCATCCTTTGTTTCTTTGCTATCTTGACTAATTGGAGAAGATGATGGTGATTTGGATAATTGTAGTGAAGAAATTTCCTGTAGTTCTTCAATTTTAAATCATCATTATTATTATTTTATGTTGTAAAAGTTAATTTATAATATAATACTTACGAGCTATGAATAAAAAATAAAACTATTTAATTAGATTGATGTTTTAATAAGGTTTATTTTGTGTTGAAAAGTTAATTTATGATATAATACTTACTAGCTGGTTATTATAAAGAAATAAAAAAAAATTATTTAATTAGATGATGTTTTAATAAAGTTTATTTTGTGTTGTAAAAGTTAATTTATAATATAATGCTTACCCCCTAGTTATTATAATGAAATAAAAAATAAAATTATTTAATTAGATGATGTTTTAATGAAGTTTATTTTGTGTGTTGTAAAAGTTAATTATAATATAATACTTACCCCCTGGTTATTATAATGAAATAAAAAATAAAATTATTTAATTAGATGATGTTTTAATAAAGTTTATTTTGTGCTGTAAAAGTTAAATTATATTATAATACTCACAATCTATGAAATAAAAAAACAAATTATTTAATTAGAAGATGTTTATTTGGTGTTGTAAAAGTTAATTTATAATATAATACTTACCCTCTATGAAATAAAAAATAAATTTATTTATTTAGATGATGTTTTAGTAAAGTTTATTTTGTGTTGCAAAAGTTAATTTATAATATAATACTTGCCCTCTGTGAAATAAAAAATAACAAATGAATTATCTTTACCAGATACTATTTTTAAATAACTATTATGATAAAAATCAATTTAAATATTACCAATACAAAGAACTTCTGGGTGTTGTTCTTCACCAAGTTTAGCAATGAATTCCTTATCATTCTTATTTTCATCCTCTGACCATTTTTTGTTCTTTTCAGATAATGCATTGACTTTATCAAAATCTTCCTTTACTTCTTCACCAGATAAGCTCCAGTTGAAATAACGAAAATTGCTATTTGACAAAATGATCATTTAATATTTTTGTGATTTAGATTAACTTCATTACCATTATTATGATAAATCATACCTCACTTCTCCATTAAACCCGCCATGGTTGAAACTATGTCCAACATACAGTGGTCCATTATTGAAGCTAACCTTTTGCTGGATGTTATAGGACCTGGCAAGCTCACCATTTATGTAGAAGAGTAATTTTTTTTCAGAATCTGAAAGTGTATAAGATATATGGTACCATTTGTTCAATGAAAGTGTGCAAGTGAGCTCGTCAATTCCATCATTATTATTCAAGTTGCCTGAGAAACGAGGATACAGATTTCCTGCTTTGTTTGCCCAAAGCCCAGGTGTGCGAACTAAATCCTCAGTACCTAATTGTATGTGTATTTTATTTGAAGCCAAGAAAG